ATCGATGTGTTGCAGTCAGAGTCTGAATATAAACTTGGATGGCTCGTATATCAGCTGAGAGAAGTATGGATTCCTACGTCGAAGTATGTTAGTAAACATTTGACTTAAACACCGTATTTCACGGCGTATTGCACTGCCCCATTGCTTTTTGATGTTTTCTTGGTATTTCTTCACCTGCAGGTCATGGATACATTTCGCATCATTTTATTGCCTAGTGCAATATTTTACCATAAGTGTTTCGGGAACCGGCACTCCTTTTAGAGATCCGAGTTTGGAGGGGTTTTGCGTTTCCACTTTTGCACACTTCAGCATCGGACCGATAGGTTTGATGTTTATTCCACATATAAGTGATACTGATGCCTGGGTTCATTGGTAACACGCAAAGAGATGCTCTAGGTGTCAAAATGATGCGGCCGTATGACGGTAGCCCGTCGCGCAATATGGTAAACGGATGATTTAAGCGTATTCGCAGCAAATGCTAAGATATGGAGTTGTAACCTTCCTGCATACTCCTATTTGAATATGTAGGAGAAATGGAATGATGTCATTCCCCATAAAACTCAGTTTTGAGGCGTTATGTGCTTATTAACCTGGTATGACATACGAACATATTTTTTATATAACTCACATGAACGAGCAGGTGAACCGATATTTAACCTGTTACGTGATTCGTCATCTGACATGTTTCGAGAACAAGCAGATTATATTTTAGTACAAAATGCCATTGTTGCAATTCGATAAGCACTTTTGAGAGTTAAAAATTTGCAGGCATGCGGCCATGGTTGAGTCAAATTGCTTTATGAAGTTGATTGTTCTAGTTATAATTGATGCCGACAAGTTCAGTTTATTATTTGAAGTGATTTAAGACGATGTTTTAGAAAGTCAACATGCCCTTGTCACCCTGTTTATAATCAGCGATTTTTGTTCTTCCGCCTTTTATGACGATATCGCTCTTATTGAAAATGCATTGTTTCCACTTATGTCTCTATTAGCGTTTATTTTCGCATTGTCTTTAACGATCAAAACGGCGCCTCAGTGAACTTAGATCTGCTACTAATGGCAAACCAATGCAGTCACTGATGACGGCTTTGCATTTTTCAGAATAATGGCTGCCGCTGCACTTTCGCTAGTGACTGTCTTGAAAGGACACAACGGCAGCGTTTGGAATGTAGCCTGGCATCCGAAAGGCAATATCCTGGCCAGTTGTGGCCAGGACAAATCCATACGAATATGGGTTGAGGCCGGTACGTTTTCGTTTTGTTTCGCGGTATGGTTTATGTTCAGAGTTTTCGTTTCGTATTGATAGCCTTCATACCATTTTTGCCTTTGCGTTTGGTCTGGTAGTACAATGCTTAAGAGGTTGACTTCGAATTCCGAGAGTGCCGAAGGTGGACGGTAGTTTTTTGTCTTAACCACGAATGTCCTTGAGCATTGGATTTTCCACACTGCTTCATACCGGGGTTGCTCAATCAGTCGAATATCGGACTCAAAATCGAGAAGTCCCGAGCTCGAGTTCCGTCCAAGTCACTCGCCTTACTTCCTTCTGAGGTTGGTAAAAGGATGTCTTTCTGTTGGAAGGAACCATTAGATTAAACACTAAGTTGGCTACCCTGCTGTTGACTCGAAGTATAAAATATGACTCTTTACTGGTGAGATGAAATGGAGATCAGCGGCCCCACCAATAGCTTTATGTAAAGATGGGCGCCGGAATGGCCCTACCATGAAATTTGTGCAGATGTCCGAAATTTCAGTTGTTACGAACATTCCTTCTGTTTCCTGCATTTTCACAGCGACTTTCATTCTTTTATCAATAATAGACCTACAATACCTCAATAATGTAGTTCACGTCATTGATATCGAGCCCCTCCTGACATTGGAGAAGAATATTAGCATAGAATTGTTTGCCGTGACATTTTTTCTTGGTTTTATGTTGATCATTAGGCTCATCGAGTCCGTTTAACTCTGCAGAGAATGTTAACCTCAAAAAATTATGTGTAAGATAAGAGAATCGTAGTTTTCAGCTTAAATAAAACTGAAAACAAAGCAGATGACAGTTAACCTATTGTTAATGCTAGAACTGAGCAAACAGGATTGAAAATGGGATTCGAATTACTGGTTGTTCGAACGGCCTTCATTTGACGTGTAACACAGAACCACCCAAGTTCAAATCTGGGAGGGTCATGAGCTCGATCTTGTGGGAGTGAGCTGCTAATATACGCACTTGTTTATTTTCATTCCCTCCTGTTTCTTTCTGTAGCAGATCAGCAACTTTAGTAGGATTACCCTGTGGTCCTGTTCTTGTGCATGCCTGGAAGTTCTGCGGTTATTAGGCTATATTTTCTGGCGTTGCAATCGATGTTGCATATGTTCTAGTGATCTTGCTCAAAAGCCTAAATGCCACGCATGGTGTCTGGTGTTTTCGGCTCTTTTAATGATTAATATAATATTGCTATGATGACTTCACTAACTACGAACTATCATTTTATTTTGGGTTTGAAACTGACTGTATCTTCTGTGAGAGCAAGATGTTGCCACGTCACAACGGCACTAACCATGTCCCAGCGCTGTCATTTGCATTGACCATGCAGTACAAACCATTTCATGGCGCTCCATTCCCACCATCGGCTTTCGGCGTCCCCTTCAGCTGAAATGTGAGATCCATAACTGCGAATTGTAGTTTAGAATGTATGTTCCTAAAGCGACGCAACAGCCAGCAAATCCTACCATGAACCCCAAACTGCTCAGGTGTCGCATCTTTGCCAACCGGGAGTGGCATTTCCTTATGTCTTTTAAAGGTAGTCAGTTTTACCTGCATGTGCACTCTCGTTATAAACCCGTAAGGAACGATAGGGGTTACTGTTCGTTTTAATCCCCAGGGTCAGCACGAAAAGAATCTTGCTGTATCGCTAATCCTTGTACAGGATAGCAAATCCTGAGCAAATCCAAAAAATATGGTGAAGTACTCAAAGGATATCAGAAAATTGGGAAATTATGATCCTTTCTTTAATAATAAAAAAAATTAGGTGATAGCGTTCTTCCAACTTGTCATACAAATTAAATGAAGGACATGCTCAGTTTCGTCATCTCTGAAAGGAGATTTGATGTTTGTCATACTGACCAGTGGATGAATCACCTTAAGTTAATAGCACTCGGTTATTGTTCACGAACTGCTTGGTCGTCAGCGATCTGTTTATGTCTCCGCTAACCTTTATGGAGTGAATCTGGTTAGGATGATCAGGCAAATCCATGCAAGCGCATAAATATAAATATTTCTACTTTTGGAAATAAATCATAAAGCTAAATAATTTGTTTAAGCAGCTACAATTGATAAATGTATTTTAATTTCAACATTTATGTAGTCTCTTAACATAATGAATTATATTCGGAATGTTCACGCTAACATGGTTTATGCAATGATGATTGAACATGTTATACTTGAGCTAAAGTTTGCTGCTGAACCTATTTACTTTGGTTTTGAAAACTCAAACTGTCTAACTTTCGGTCAAAGCCTCATTTTGATCACGTTCATGCTGAAGTGGTCAGTCGGTGCAAAAACTAATGGCTGATGTTAACTAGGTTTTAAAATATTCGATGCCCTGCCTCAACTCGTTTGTTACTTGAAGTATTTTGCTCATTTGTTGGTATTCATATTGAAGGGAAGCAGTGCAAAATTGGTTTAATTATGCACAAAGCAATGTAGTTGTACTTCAGGTGAGAGATCACTTGCTTCTTAATGTCGTTGGCATGCTGTTTTTTGTAATTATCCGTTCTTACTCTGTATTCCCTGATGTTTCAGGCGATTCTTACGAGTGCAGATCAGTATTGGACGACGGTCATCGACGGACAGTGAGAAGTATCGCGTTTTCTCCATGTGGTCGTTACTTGGCTTCAGCTAGTTTTGATGCAACAGTTGTAATATGGGAGAAAAACGAGTAAGAATGGAGTTTTTGTTTGTACCATTCCGGGCACTCAGCAGTTTTACTGAGCCAAGTTTTGTTTACCTCTATTTAGTCTGCGTTTTAAGGCAAGAGTACGAAATTCGCACTACCTTAGAAGGACATGAAAACGAGGTGAAATGCGTTGCTTGGTCACCAAGCGGTCAGTACCTAGCAACTTGTGGTCGCGACAAGTCAGTGTGGATTTGGGAAGGTAGTTCATTGCGTACCAGTTTTGATTTTGCCATTTTTCTCATTTGAATAGTTCTTTCTGTGATTGTTTTACTATATATACAGCAGGAAACCCGTTTAATGAGCGAAACGCACCTTAATGAATTTGTCTAGTGATTCGTCTTCTGCTGCCCTTATTGAGGCATGTGGCAGACTTTCACCTACATCACAGTAGTGTTTTTCACTGGAGATCTTTGTGCTGCAGATGTTGCTTGTTGCGAATCAGAAAGGCAGAAAGTACAATGCTGAATCTAAATGTCGAAGCCGATATGAGATGAACTTTCTCTCTTCTCAGCAGCCTTCACATCGCAACTAATCTCTCACTGACACTTATCGAATTGTTCATGAACTAACCCGTTATGATTGTTTGTACTTGCTTTCTCGAAAAATTATTTCAACTTTATGCTTTTCATATCGTCTTGATTTGAAGTTTCTAGCTTTTGATTGATCTTTCTCTGTTTGGCGATATTTCTTGACTAAGTATTCCAGCCAGTAGGAAAGCAAGAAGTTAGGACTGCGGTAAGAGTTGACAACGTCTGTGTAAACTCTCGTGCATTTGCGGATGTTGTCCCTTGCCTGCAGATAACTTCATCACTGTTCATAACTGAAGCAGAAGTTTTCTGATCAGGATCTCTCGAATACCTGAAAATAAGACGAAGAATACTTGAAAGACGAAGTGGATGTCAGTTGGTAGAACCCACACTAATCACTGTCGCACCTTTGGCACTGAAGTTGTGGATAGTGTGCCATAACGTGTCTATCTTCAGAGTGCAATGGCTGCACTCGGAAGAGTAACAAGTTAACTTACGAGGCGCTTTGCGTTGGCATTAACAGCGGCCAACAAGTTATTTATGCTCTAGAAGGACAGAGTGTTGACAATGGCACAGAGCAGCGGATATGCAAGGCTTGCATTGTGAACATCCTTCTCTATAGTTTGGAGACGTCAGTACTCAAAAAAAACTAAAATTGAAAACCAAAAGCGATGGAAATAAAGATTTTAAGATCAAAATTAGGAGTGAAATAAAACGATCTGAAATCAGGTGATGTTTTAAGAGAGAGGTTTGAATATTTGGCAAAAATGACTGAGTCTGGCTGCAAGCAGAGCGTTTAA